TTGTTCTCAAGCTACTTATATTATAAAATATCTTGGTGGCAGCACGGTTTCTGGAAGTCTGTGACAGCCTTTGATGGATGATGTGCTAGCCTATTCAGTGAAAAGCAATCTAGGTCTTTATTTCCAGCTTCTTCTGAAAAAGTTGCAGGAGATTGATAGAACATTTTTTTAATTAATCACAGCCAAGTGAGGCTGGAGGGGTTCCTTAAATGAGAAGTAGTGGCATAGCTTATTAATAGCTGTCTAGGTGGTTCCACTTAGGCAAGAGGAAATGGAGCTGGGAAAATCTGAGGGGAAGTATTGGTCCCCCAGTCTTCCACTGAAGTCAATGGAGCCGTTTCTCGTCACCTCTAATAGAGGAATTTTTCATGTAAGAAACTCAGAGTGGAGTGTTCATCTTTACTGGGTAAGTTCTACATGCTCACTGTTGGTTATCTCCCTGGGTTCATGGTTTGAACTTAGCAGCACCTTCGAGCCACTAATGCCATGCCTTTTGTTCTCAACTGTCTCCTAGAATTTGCCTGCATCTCCAAAGGGTGGGCCTAGTCCTCAAACCTAATACGTTCCAACGGAACTCTTAATTTTTCCCCCCACACAATGGGATCTGTGTTCAATGTTTCACATTCCAATGAATGGTGTCTTCATCTACCCTGTTTTTCAAGTCAGAAACTGGCTTGACTTCACTCTCATCACTCCCATGTTCAATCCCTCCAGACTATACTCATCAACCCTATCTCTTAAGTAGTCCTTGAGTTAATCTACTTCTTTCTGTCTCTACTACTGCTATCCTAGTCCCAACTATCACCATCTCTCTTCTGGAATAGTATGACAGCCTCCTAGATTCCCTGCCTCCACTCTTGCTCCCTTCCATCCATTCTCCAAGCACAGCCAGTCCCCTGCTTCTTATGAATCTTGTAATAAAGACCAAAATAATCCATTTCATCTCCTGCTGCCACCTCTCTCGGTCTATTAAGCTCTACCCCTCAGTTCCTCTAAGCAAGGTTACAAATGCTTTCCTACCTTAGGGCCCTGGAATGCTGTTTTCTCTTCTTGCAAGACCCATTTCTCTCCCCCACTGCACCGTGCACTTAGCAAGTGCTTCACAGCACTTATCATGGTTGAAGTTTTCCCTACTACACTGTGAGTTTCTTGAGGACCAAGACCTTGTGCCGTTCACCATGATACGTTCAGCGTCTACCACAGGACCCAGCATTGAATTGGCCCTTTATTTGGTGCACGAAGGAATAAATGAATGAATAAATACAGCTGCTTATAACTCAATAGCCCAGGAAATAATTCCGTGTGTTGGCTGAGGTAAAAATTTGCAACACTGAAAGGATCCTTATTGTGTCTAAAATATCTAGATGATAAAAATGCACTCATGGAGCAAAAAATAACTAAGAATTATGCTGTAGCTAAAAATAATGTTTTTATTATATATTTCATGATAATTTGCAAAATAATATGTTTGTCCCAAACTTCAATTGAACAATTTCAGCATTTTCCTATAAATGAAAAAGACTCGAGTACATTTCTGATCTACCTGTAATAGTCTGGTCATAAATTATCTAACTTAGTTCCATTTTTATAATCATGTGACTTCTGCCTTCTATCTAAGGGGGAGGGTGGGAATGTTTGAAATACCCAATAATTTTTATTTCTAGGTAAAGAGAAAATAAACAAAGGATAAAATATTACTGCCTCTGTTACTTGATGATTAGCAAATGACCACAAAATGCAAACAGTGTGCTCTAGCAAGCTGTCAGAATGGGGTGCCCCCACTTAAACGGAAATGACATGTAAACTTTTGGCCTTCAGCAGGGAATACATTCTGTGCTACATTCAACTATTTTCACAGGGTCTGATGCCACTGTGTTGGGAACTGCACTGCTTTAGACTTTTAAAGTAGTCTGAAGTACTTTGAGACACAGAAACATAGAACTAAGTATGATTTTTATGTTCTTTTTCTCTGTGAACCATATCCCCATTAAAACAAAACAAAACAAAACCAGAAATGCTCATTGTAGTGTAGTAATTAAATCTGGAGTCAGACAGATATAGTCTTAATCTAGGCTCCACTATTAACCAGCTTTATAAGTACAGGCAAGTCATTTCACCTCCTCTAGTCCTCAGTGTCTTCATCTGTAAAGTGGGAATAAAAAGAAGACATGCTGGTCCAGGCATGGTGGCTCACGCCTGTAATCCCAGCACTTTGGGAGGCCAAGGCAAGTGGATCACTTGCGGTCGGGAGTTCGAGACTAGCCTGGCCAACATAGCAAAACCCTATCTCTACTAAAAATACAAAAATTAGCCCAGCATGGTGGCACTTGCCTGTAATCTCAGCTAAGTGGGAGGCTAAGGCAGGAGAATCACTTGTACCCGGGAGAGGGAGGTTGCAGTGAGCCGAGATGGCGCCAGTGCACTCCAGTCTGGGCGACAGAGCAAGACTGCATTTCAAAAAAAAAAATTTATAAAGATTCAGTGAGATTGTCCACAGAAAGTCCTCAGCAGAATCTGTTCTCTGGAGAAGATCACCATGTAAGAAGCACTAAGGTGGGTCTCTACATGGTCCCCAGCACGCCTGTCTGCATTCGGTGGTGCAAGTGGACAGGGTACCATCTTAAATGGTTGAAACCTCTGAGACCAAGGAGAATGCCTGGCAACCCAGGTATACATGAGAGCCCTTGCTCATGTACTAGATCAAAGACCACACCCAATGTGAAGCAAAGTGAAACCAAAAAAAGAAAGAAAGAGAGAAAAAGCAAACATTACAGTAGACCTGTGGATAGCAAAGACCCTTTTTTTGTGGTATAGTTTTATTGTCAAAAACTGTTAAGCGCAGGGGGCTTGGAGTTGCCAAATTTTTCAATAGGTTTGAGAAGATGTGTGTGTGTGTGTGTGTGTGTGTGTGTATATATATATATATATAGACGGATTCTTACTCTGTCTCCAGGCTGGAGTGCAATGGCACGATCTCTGCTCACTGCAACCTCTGCCTCCTGGGTTCAAGCGATTCCCCTGCCTCAGCCTCCTGAGTAGCTGGGGCTACAGGTGCGTGCCATCACGCCCAGCTAATTTTTTTTTTTTTTTTTTTTTTTTTTTTTTTTTGTATTTTAGTAGAGATGGGGTTTCACCATGTTGGCCAGAATGGCCTCGATCTCCTGACCTCGTAATCCACCCACCCCAGCCTCCCAAAGTGCTGGAATTACAGGCGTGAGCCACCGTGCCCAGCCGAAGTTCTATATTTAGGAACGTTTCTTTAAAAGACGATGACCATTGATTCCCAGTCTAAGGGGCATCAGCACACAGACTTCCCCCTTCCATACCACACTTTCGCACTCCTCTGAGTCATTCTTCAAGCAATTCAGCAACTTTCAGGAAAACTAGCTAAATATGTAGTTATTTTTCCCTGCCCCACTCCTGCAGTTCCACTGAGTTATCTATAAGGTAGCTGCATCCATGGGTCTGGAGATTAGGAGAAAAGTCAGAATGGAAAACTGTGGACATTGATAAATGAAGTTATGGGGGTAGTCAAGGTTGTCCAGGAATAGTCTACAGATTGGAAGAGACGAAGAAAAGAGGATCAGCAATGTTCATGGGACAGCCAAATGAGGCAGGTCCAGCAAAGGAGACTGAGGGATGACTGAATGAATGCCAAGGAAGTGTGGGCTCATGAAAACCAAGGAAGGAGAGATTTATCAAGAAGGCAAGGGTCAAATACTGCAGAGACATCAAGATGAGGATCAAAAAGCCCATGGATTTGTCAATTATAAACTTAATGGTGACTTCACAAAGGTGGATGGCTGAGGTAGGAACCTTAGCATGAACCAAGTGCACAGGAGGATATGTGCTAGAGACAGCATGAGTCCGACAGGCAGACAGACTAGGGTTTCAAATCCCAGCTCCACCATGTTCTATCATGTTACTCAACATCTCTGTGCCTCTGTTCATTTGTAAGTGGAGATAACAATAGTAAATACTTAATAAGGTTGTTGTGAGGCTTACATGAGCTTAATAGTATACACCACTTAGTACAGTGCCTAGCACATGAGGTGCCATGTTCTATCTATTGGCTCAGAGCAGGAATCATAAACCACTGAAGGTATCTCATGCAGGAAGATAATTAGTTGTCTACAAAACCACTGGGCTACAGAAGTGGAAGTAGGGGGACGTCAGGAGGCTGCCACTGGACTAATGGCTTCAAGGTCATATCATTGCAGTTGTGATCCACATGTTAGGAGGCTGCTGCCACCACTACAGTCTCTCACTCACAAATCTGTAAATAGACACACTGGAATGTGGAGTACAAAAGCCACAAACACATCTTTGGAATCGCCTGCTGGCCACCAAACCCCAAGAAGATAGCCTTTGCCTAACTTAAGCCTTCCAAATTTTGTTGGCAGAAGTGAACATGTATCTGAACCCACATTTTATCCAGAACCCTAGCTGGAAGGGAGTCTGGGAAATGGATTTTTCAGTCTTTATGTTTTTGGAAAGAAACAGAAAAGGGGTAGGAATGCATGTGGAGCAGCAGATAATTTCCACCTCATCAATCTTTAAGTGGAACGAATATTTTCATCCTGAGTGCTGACACCAGCATTCCAACTGCGGTCAAAATATAGGATTATCACTGATTGACAAAATCCTGCCAAATTCAAAGAGGAATCAGGACAGGAATAAATATCAACGGATAAACTTGAGCAGGAAAATATATTTTTCTCTAATATTGAAAAGCAGATGGTGAGCAGGGATATAGTTTATAGGTTTATAGGTTTGGGCCAGAAGAAGAGAGGTAGAGAAGTTAAGGAAGGTTCTATCTCAGGTCATGTATTATCTCTGTAAAGTTGGGAGCAAATGTCATCTGCCCTGAGTGAAAAAGGCTGAGACTGGCTAGAGGGCTTGGTGAGAGCAGACTAGCTAATGAGGGAAATGAGAGAGGAAGCTGACACAGCACAAGAAATCTTTCTGCACACCGGCTAGCAAAAAAAGAAGCAAAAGACTTATTGTTATAAAGCACTGTTTATTTTTATGTATTGAAAATGTCCATTTTAAAAGTCTTCAAAATAAAAACAAGTTAGAAAATTTGAGCTTGTGTTAAGAAGGGACAGGACAGAAAAGGAACCGAAAGGCCTCTACGGGCAGCAGTTTAATTACAGGGCAACAGGAACCCATTTATAGAGTATTGTAAACAACACAACTATGGCAACACTGCTCTCAGGTTAACATGGCTTCATTTCCTTTATATTATTGTTTAGTGTGTAAGCATGGTTACCACTCTGCACAAGCTTTGTTACCCAGAGTACCGAGGGCCCCTCATCAGAAGGGCCAAGTCCCCAAAACATGCATATGTACACATCACTACAAAATGAAGACCTTTCAATATTTTCAGCAATCAACTAAAGTATTTCATAATCACAAAAATGTTTCCTACAGATGCAGTTTGCATATTTATTGCAAGCCATTGACTAACCACAGAATGGGCAGATGTGAAGATCTGTGTTGATGTTGTTATTGGTGGTGGTAGTAGTGATGATGTTTTTAATTTTTAAGTGAAGGATGTTATATCTAAATGGCTGTGCTAAAAAACAGAACAACAGTCATTCCTAGAAATTTCTTTACTCTTCAGCTTCCAAACACGGCTGTGTGTGGTTGGCTGATGTTGGACTACAAGAATAGTTCATTTCCTGTGGATGGTATAATTTCTGCTGTACAGCAAGCAGACAACAGCCCTGTACCACATAGCTATGGGACCTTGAGAGTCTCAGTACCAAAAATAAAAAGGGCTCCTCAGCAAGCTGGGGGTTTCAAACTTCAAGTTTTGCTTTTTCAGAGACAGGGGTGTCTCTCTGTTACCCAGGTTGGAGTGCAGTGGTGTCATCACAGCTCACTGCAGCCTTGACCTCCTGGGCTCAAATGATCCTCCCACCTCAGCCTCCTGAGTAGCTGGGACCACAGGTGTAGGCCACCATGCCTGGCTTCAAGTTTGGTTTTTAAACATTTGCAAAACCCACATTTATAGGCATCCATCAAATTTATTATAAAGGCAATTTTGATCAGCCCTTTGGCCTCACTTTCCAGTGACCTTCCCCATCTGGCCAAATTTCTCTTGTCTTTGGGCAAGAGAGGGGTAAGTGGCACTGAGCCTTAGGCCAACTTTCAATGGTGCTGAATTTGGATGTGTGCTGTTCTGTGACTATCTTCTAAACCTGGTTTCTCACAGTTCTAGTTTCTGGGATAAAGTGGATGGTGTGATTCAATGAGCAACTTGAGTTAATCAGTCCAAATAATCCAGCACACAGCTATTAGAGGGGCCCTTTTGTTCTGGATGTACAAATTGGACCAGAAGCATATTTCTGTAAATACTGCTTAGAGTCCCACCCAAAGAGGCCAATGAATATTACAACTTCTCACAGCATATATGAGAGAGTAATAAAGTGAATGAAAGCTGTCTACTAGGGCACAATATCTCCTTAATGCAGATTGTTTTGAAGGATAAAAGGTCACAGTTTGAATATGCAACATACATAAAGTAACTGCTCACAGTCTAACTACATTTTTTTAAAAGTAAGCAAAGCACATACATACTAGTTTACACACCACTTGGTACGGCTGGCTAAAAGCACTGGGGAAATAGAAAACTTACACACTAGGCAGAAGATGAGGGAAAGAAACCTATCATGCAATGGGAAAAGGCGGTCAACTCTGCTACTGAAAGGGAGGATTGTCCAGTAGAATTTGCTGATGGATTTGATGTTGGTGTGGGTGACCAGAGCTTCTGCCCCCGTGAGTTACAGTTTACATGACATAAAAGGAATAAGGGTACTACAGTTTTCTTGGTCTTAGAGACAACATAGGGCAGTAATTTTAAAACCTGTGATTGAGGGGAGGCATGTGATGGTCTAAGGAAGGGCAGCTGGATCACTGGGCAGATGTGTTTGTCTTTCATCCTACTCTAGCCATAGTCTGGAATATCTGCCTTCGGTAAATTACTAAGAGGCTTGCAGGTACAGGAAAGCACTGGGGGAAAAGTTGGGTTCACATTTAATAAGCCTTGGCCAGCTGCTTTGCAAGGGCAGCCAGCCCAAAGAATGTGACCTGAGGGCAATGGCTGTTGCAGAGGCACTGTGAACTGAAGGCAATCTGAAGACCTTTTAAGTAACTGGCCTGTGTTCCCTTTCTCTTTCTCACTGAATGGAAAAGACTCTGGGGCCATTTCTACCACCACCTCCTGCTTTTTCCCCTGTTGAAAAAGAAATGAACAGCCAACCAATAACCAAACAACAGCAAATGCCCAAGCGCGCACACGTGCGCACACACACGCACACAGAGGGGGGAGAGAGAGAGAGAGAAAAGAGAGGGAGGGAGGAAGGGAGGGAGAGAGAGACAGAGAATGAGACTCAAACACAAAACAAAAGCCAAAGAAGTGAGCAAACTGAGTCAAATCATTCAGCGGGACATTTCAAGATGCCCTGAAGGCACACTCCACCCGGTGGCACAGTGATGGTTATGGAAGAATTGAGGTCTTGCTACTGGACTCGGCTCGAATACACTCATCTGTTTGCTTCAAAAGCCTCCGCACCAGCTTTTCTAGGTCCCTTCTTGACTTCAATTCCTCTTCCAGGCATTGCTTCATTCTTTTATTTTCCTATGATGGGGAAAGATGTGTTGATTACAAAACAGAGGGGGGCCCTTCCAAGGGCTCCTCCTGCTCATCCTCGGGGCAGCTTTCATCACTGACTCTCTTTCCTTCCTCAACCTTCCCTCCCTCAGCACCTATGACAAAGCAGCCTCTCGATCCTCCTGCCTATCTCTGGGAAACCTTTTGGATTCTTCTTCCCTGCCCTGACCCTCCTCTAATTTAACTCGCTTTTCACTTAGTGTCACTTCTCTTTCAATCCAAGTGTCTATTAAGGGGACTCCCAAATATCTCCGGTACTGACCTCATCTCCTGAGAATCAGGTCCACAATCTCAACTGCCAGCCTGGTATTTCTTTTTATTATTATTGTTATTTTGAGAGATGGGGTCTCACTCTATCGCCAGGCTGGAGTGCAGTGACATAATCATGGCTCACTGCAGCCTCAAACTCCCGGGCTTAAGTGATCCTCTCACGTACCTGAGATTACCTGGCAGCAGCTTGGTATTTCCACCTAGATATGTCACCTTAAACTAATCTGGTCCTAAAGTGAACTCAGTATCTCTCTCAACACCCCACACTTCTCCTCCTCCTGTGGTTATTGATCCCCGTGAAGAAGCACCACCATATGCAACTAGACACCCTGGGAAGAGGCTTCATCTTTAATCCCTGGCTCTTTCTTAATCTCAAAATCACATTATCCTTGTCCATAGGTTCAAACTCTGCAATATGCCATCCTTTACATTCATTTTCCTCCTCCCCAACCTCATTGCCCTGCCTCAGTTCAAGACTCTGACAGGTCTCACCCTGAGTTTTGTAAGAACCTCCTAAGTGGTCTTCTAGTCCCTGATCTCTCTCCCCTCCCATCCATCCTTCACTCTGTCACCAGATACAGTCAGTCCTCACACACAAGGCATAGCATGACAGTGTGCATCACTGAGCCATATCGGCAGTGATACTAGACCACATCGGCAGAAAAGCCCACAAACCATGATTAATGGTTCTCTTTACACTTACACACTGATGAATGACTAGTCTTTTCTTAAAGTCTGTTTACGGATGTCAGAGAACAGGAAAGTTGTAACTAACTTTGGGACTCTATTGTGAACTACTGCATAGAAATACAGGCAAGCCTCAGAAATTTAAATTCAAGGCTACATGATAAAATCAACAAACAAAACCTACCTTGATGACACAAGGAAAATAAAAATGCCCCCTCGCTACCTTCCTCCTAGGCCTTCCCTGAAAGCATGGGCAGTGTGAGGCAAGGAAAAGAGAATGGTTCTGTTACCCAAGAAAATGACTTTTATATTTTATTACCTGCTTCAGTTCTTTGACCTCGTCCTTCAAGGCGTAAACAGTATCAACAAGGCTCCTAGAACATAAAGATAAAATTCAGAGACAAATGGCTTGCACTGGGTACTGTTAAAATACTAAACAATAAAAGCCACTTTATAAAAATACAGATCCTGAAAAACAGTGAACTTTCTAGCTGATTGGGAATGGTACTGCTCTAAATGGCTTCCATCTTCTTCATTTTGGTGGAAGAACAACCACCACCACACATGCTTAGCTAAATGCAATGTCATTACACTTTTTCTATACTTCCCTCCTCCTTTTCTACTCACTTCCCAGCTTGGGTGAACAAAACACAAGAGACTAGGGCCCATCACTAAGTTTTTCTTTTTCTAGCTTTGTTGAAGGATAATTGACAAAGGTGTACAATGTGATGTCTTGATATATGTATACATTGTGAAGTGGTTACTACAATCAAGCTAATTAACATATCCATCTCCTCACATAGTTACCTTTCGTATGTGTGTGGCAGAAACACTCAAAATCTACACTCTTAGCAAATTTCAAGTATACTGCATTGTAAACTATACAGTCTTCCCTCCCTCAGTATCCATGGGGTATTGGTTCTAGGACCCCCATGGATACCAAAATCCACAGATGCTCAAGTCCTTAATATAAAATGGCATAGCATTTGCATATAACCAACGCACATCCTCCCACATACTTTAAATCATATCTAGATTACTTATCATACCTAACACAATGTAAATGCCATGTAAATAGTTGTTATACCATATGACTTAGGAAAAAACAATATGGTATAACACAGTGCATACATATATCAAGACATCACATTGAACACCATTGTCAATTATTCCTCAACAAAGATGGAAAAAGAAAACCTTTATTAGGTATGAAAAAAAATCTGTACATGTTCAATACAGACGCAACCATCCATTTTTTCTGAATTTTTTTTTTTTTTTTGATCTAGGGTTGGTTGAATCCACAGATGCAGAGCCCACGCATGCAGAGGGCCAACTGTAGTCAACATACTGTACATTAGTTCTCCAGAACTTATTCATCCTGCATACCTGAGATTTGGTACCCTTTGACCAACATCTCCCCATTTCCCCTTTCCCCTCAGTCCCTAGAAACCACCATTCTGCTCTCTGTTTTTAGGAGTTCGATGTTTTCAATTCCCATCATAAGGTTTTGATTTCTCTAGCTTTGGGGCAGGAATGAACATCACCTATCACATAATGAGAGGTATCAGAAGACTGCCTATTCTACAATATCTGTGCTGTGACATTGCCCTTTTCAGTTCTCCACTGCACATGACACAAAGTCAGAGGCATTCTTTCTGGAATATCCCAGTCAAATATTACCCAAAAAAGGATGAAGCACTCTGGCTGGGTTGCATAATAGCCTTTTCCTCTCTGGGTCTCTCCCTGGACAAAGATTTTGGAGATCTAAGTTTTGGTTCTGATCCTGCCACTTACTAGTCCTCTGTTCTCTGGCAACCAGTTTCCTTCTCATCCTCCCTTCGTCTTAGTTTCTTTACATGCAAAATGGGGATAATAGCACATTTTCTGAAAACCTCACAAAGTTGTAAAAATGAATATAGTTATAATAAGAATTAACTATCATTATTTATTGAGTGCTAGCCTTTATACTTACTTCATTTAACCTCACAACAACTCTGAAAGCATTACCATCATCCTTATTTTACAGATGAGGAAACTGAGGCACAGAGAGGTGAAGCAACTTGCCCCAGGTCACACAGCTAATGAGTAGCAGAATTGGGAGCTGAACCACACTGTTTTTCGCTTGAGCCCAAGTACTTAACCATTTTGCTGTATCACTTCACACAGCAGATGTAAAATGCATTGACAGTGCCAAGCACCTTGAAATATGCTGTCCCATGCAAATTTAGGCCTGACTTCAGAAATGACTCAAGTTTAGACAAATGAATTATTTGGCTACTTTGTGTTAATTTTATGAGCCAGAAGGTACTTAACCTGATTTTCCCCCATTAGGTCACCCACACTACTGTGTAAAGGTAAGTCGGAGACATAATTTCCCTGAACTTCCTGTACCTCAGTTTCTTTATCTGTGAAAGTGGTGAGAGTAATGTTTATCTAACTGGATTGCTGTAGGATTTTAAATGATGTCAAATATGTGAAAGCACAGCTTCTGACTCAAAACATGTGAGTGGCATCTGTCTGGGCAGGGAAATCGGTTCTGTGGCTGGAATTCCCAATCACTTCCTAAACCCATCCAGGGCACTGATGTTCCCATGTGCTCAGAAGCAGCTTAATGGCTGGGGCGCTGGCTACAAGGGTAGCTGCCAGCTGGAGCTGCTTTGGAGGGCTCTATCACCTCTGCCTTTCCTTCCTCTTTTGTTTTGTTAGTGGGCAGCCCTCTAAAGTCTCCCAAATGCATGCTCAGCAAAGCAGGCCACATTCCCAGATAAGGAGGGGTTGTCCCTCATCATAGACTCTCCATGTGCCCCACCGTCCTACCAGACCTTCTTGCCAGCTCCAAGATAAACTAGGCAAGGTTTTGTCTGCTCTACTCACTTTTCTTCCATGATGGTCTGGCCGTTGCTTCTGGTTTCTTCAATGATGAGTTTCTCTTCCTCAGGGAGTAGGACTTGTGGAATGGAATCTTTTCGAGTACCTACAAACAAGGGTTGCAAGAGGGAGGAGGAGGGAGAGTTACTAGTGAAGAGTAGAAATAGTGGGTGTTAGTTCCTTTCCACTATTGTTACAGAAGGGTCTTTGTTCATAGCATGTTGCCACATTACACCCAGAGGAGAGTCACCCATCATTTGCTGACTAAATTTTCCTGACATGAGAATTCTAAATGGCCAAATATACTGATTCAATCTTCCCAAGGTGGGAAGCATTTTGTATTCCGAAAAATAAAGCAAAAGAGCCCCTGTAATACCTGTCCACAACCAAGACCTCCATTCTTTCCGGTTTTGCCTCCTCCAGAGCAAAGAGCTGACCAGTGATCACTCTTCCCTGCAAATCTCCAGGGAAGGACGCACTACATCCTATGCTACAGTGTTTTGTCACTGTAGCAAAAGTCAGGTTGACAGTAGCACTGCACTGAAACACAATGTGCTTTAAGGGCCTCAGAAGCATCATCACTCCCATTTGTTCTCTTTACAGTCTTATAGGGTAAGGTAGATATGTCTCCTAAGACCATTTTAATCAAGGGTGGAGTGAGGTTTGGAGATTATCACATCATCAGCAAAGATGCAGATGTCCACTGCTCAGAATGTCTCCAGGCTCTGGGACAGAAGAGGTGACACAACAGGCATGGGGGCCCAACCAAACAGCTCTCCTGCACTTCCCTCACTCTGGATCCTTCCTCTCAGAGCTCAAGTGCTTAATCTTTGGTCTCCCTGAGTCACTGGCTTCCTCTCTTCTAGGCCAAGTTCCTTCAGAGGTGTGTACACTCACTGCCTTCCCTTGATCACCTCCCCTTTCTTGAGGTGAGATGTGTCTCTGCCTTCTCCAGTGCCTAGCACTTTGTAGGTGCTTAATATAGGTGGCCCCCCATATCCGCAGGTTTCACATCTGCAGATTCAACCAACCATGCATTGAAAATATTCAGAAAAAATAAAAAGTAATACAAATTTAAAACCCAATGCAGTATAACAACCATTTACATAGCATTTACATTTATTAGGTATGATAAGCAATCTAGAGATGATTTAAAGTATATGGGAAGATGTATGGAGGTGATATGCAAATACTCCACGATTTTACATCAGGCACTTGAGCAGTGTCAGATTTTGTTATCTCTGGGGGTCCTGGAGCCAATCCCCTGCAGATACCAAGGGACGAATATAAGTGGAAAGCAAACTGACTGAATGACTGGCTGAATGCAGTAAGAGCCGACGGTAGTCAGTTCTAGAGAAACAGGACTTCCAGTTAGAGAGGGATAGAGGATAGGAGGTCACCACGATGCTAAATGATCTGCTGTGTGACAAGCACAGTGCCAGACATCTTCCACATGTAAAAGGTTGGGTAGGGAGCAAGGGTGAAGATGTGTCTTTTTAAGCCAGAATATCTGGCTGCACCTCCCAGCTGCAGACCCATCCACTCTGTCAAATGTAAAAATAGGTGGTGCAAGAGGAGATGAGGTCAGATTTTGTAGAAGGGATGCTTCTGGTATCTCTTTGTCCCCCTCTCTTCTCTAGTTCTCAAAACAAAAACTGCCCTCACTTTCCTCTCCTGGCTCCTTGAAACATGTTATCAGAGCTGTGCATGCCCAAAGCCACAGCCAGGTTTTCTCTGTGAAGCAGAGTGTGACAGTCCTCTCTTCATGGCCAAATGTGTCAACTTTCACATTGAATTCCCTCCCTCCCTCCCTCCCTCCCTCCCTCCCTTCCTTCCTTCCTTCTTTCTCTCTCTTTCTTTCTCTCTCTCTTTCTTTCTTTCTTTCTTTCTTTCTTTCTTTCTTTCTTTCTTTCTTTCTTTCTTTCTTTCTTTCCTTCTTTCTTTCTTTCTTTTTCTTTCTCTTTCTTTCTTCCTCTCTCTCTCTCTCTTTTATTTTTTTTATGGGAGTCTCACTCTGTCACTGGAGTGCAGTGGTCAATCTTGGTTTTCACAACCTCCCTCCTGGGTTCAGCAGATTCTCTTTTTTTTTTATGGAGTCTCACTCTGTCACTGGAGTGCAGTGGTCCAATCTTGGTTCACTGCAACCTCCACCTCCTGGGTTCAAGCGATTCTCCTGCCTCAGCCTCCCAAGTAGCTGGGACTACAGGTGTGCGCCATCACACCCAGCTAACTTTTGTGCTTTTAGTAAACACAGGGTTTTGCCATGTTGCCCAGGCTGGTCTTGAACTTCTGGCCTCAAGGGATCTGCCTGCCTTGGCCTCCCAAAGTGCTGAATTACAGGCGTGAGCCATCATGCCCAGTAGAATGCTTCCTTTATGTCAGCCTTAGAGATGCATTACTCTGAAAGAATATGTCAAGGCACCTAAGAAATCCCCTCCCACATTCAAATGATTGGTCACTGGCTGTCCAAAATGGAGTGTTGTGGAGTATTCATTTCTTATGTAGGTACAAAAACCTCACAAAAGGTATTCTGAATGTCTATAATAATGGGAGACAAAAGACATAATCGAAGTGACCTGGCTTTTAAAAAGCATAAAGATGAATCAGAAAATATTATCTCGCTTTCGTTTGTAACCTGAAAGTTGTTTGGGGAAATACCCTAACCCAATAGCTCCCTGATAAATTGTATACATTTTGGACAACCTCTGCTAAGCAGCTACATTTCCAGATTTTCAGAGCAACTTTGAAACTTGAGTTTGGTGAAGATTGTTCGTTTAAATATGCAGCTGATCAAAGATAGTATTTTGACTTCCTTTCCAAATCTGCCTATAAGAAGAGATTAGCATCAGTTCACAGACACAGGAACTCTCTGGGCCCTTTAATTCCTAACTAGTGCTGGTGAAGGTATCTGTGTACTTCAAAGGAGAACAACTTTTAAAAACTTTTTTCACTTCTATCACCTCCAACTCTTTTACTCTTGCATCTCTCTTTCTGGGTGAAAAACAACAGTGGGTAAACAAACCGCTTGGTAGCTAAAACCACCTTATCTGAAAGATGCAGTCCTGCACCACTCCTCTGCACTAAGTCACCTGCTTTCCACACCCTGCAACCCATCTGGGTTGCTTTTCTGTTCTTCTAAAAGACACTAAGCAGTAAAGAAGAAACGTCACTCACTAGAGAAAGTAGTTTGGGGGAACCTACTTGAGCCATGGCCTTGTTGAAAGTTTGCACTGGTGCAGTAGGCTTCGATCACTTTAAGGATCTGGGCATCCTCTTCCAGAGCAGCTGTACCTGTGAAATTTAATTCATCATGACTTTTCATAGATACATGCCTTTGGACCCTCAGAATGATGCAGTGCACTCTACTGCCTGGGACTGGCTTCTCTGACCAGTAGAGTTTGTGAAAGGCAAGAGAAAGAGCTGTCCAACGCTGTTTATGGAGAAGAGTGACAGCATCCTCATGGAGCTTTGGAGTCAGCCTCAGTGAGCTCAGCTTAGTGGAGGGCCTACTCCTGAAGCCCAGAGCTCTACACTGGGAACCAGGGTAGCAGGGTGGTGTTCTGTCAGTGGTCTCAGTGAGGCCAAAATCACAGCACTGAGCTTGTTGCTAGCTTAGTTCCCATCGATATACCCCAGCCTTCCTCTCCTTTAAATTTCAAGGTTCACCTTTAGGAAGCTTTCCCTCATTAACCCCACCCAATTTTCTAACCAGTCAGTGTAGTCACTCATTCTCCCTCCCCCCTCCTCTTCTACTCCAAACTCATTCTTGCAATGGCTGGATGGCAGCACCCTGTGAACATGACAATGTGCATAACCAGGTGTGGGGTGGAGGGTGAGGCATGCCAAAGCTGGGGTGGAGCAAATATTTATCCAAACTATATTCCCAGCTGATACACACAATTCTGCCACCTCTTTGTGAGACACCGCTTACTCCTTCACATGTGTCCTAAAGTACCTTGTGTCCCTAAGTACCTTGTTGACAGCCTTATAGCCAAATATGTCCATATCGACTGGCTGACTGACTTTGCAGTCAGTCTCCAAATGAAGCCATGTTGCTAGATGTGGGCAGGCTGATTCCCTGAGTAACTGTGAGCATCACTGAGCATGGGACTTCTGGAAGGACTTCAGCCTTCGGGTCTATTTAGTCTATCTCCCTGGAGAAAAATATCTCAAGTATCAGAAACTAAGAGGGAAAAAAATGTATCCATAAGAAATGGGTCCCTTTAGAGGTTCTAAACCAGGTGAGGCAAAACGCTCAACACAAAAATGATACAGATGACATCTGCCTGAGATGACATGAAGTGCAGCTGTAAGAAGCTTATTCAGTTTAAGAAGTGACCAAAGCTTTCCATGCATTCTTCTTTATATGTAAAAGACAATGTCAAGAAAAAATTGCTCCAATCATCTGCTTTCAAATAAATCCTCACATAAAAGAAGATTCTCATGTTAATTTATCCATAAACAACTTTCAGAAAGTACAAAACACATACTTTTCCTAATCACATATTCCTCCTCTGATGGTTTTCTCTCAGTCTTCCTTTTATGAAGAAATTTCTTCATCGTTTTAGGGCTTTTACTAGACTCCTGTAAGGACAGAGGTTTCTTAATGAATTAAAATTCTCCCTCAAAAACAAAAGTAAAAGCACGAGTGAAACTAAATAGAATTCCTCTCCCTTATTTTGACAGTCTCAGTTAGGAGTACTTCAATGTTTAACACTATGCACAATTAAAATGGTTCCAATAAACTCTAAAAGGTTAAATAAAACAGAGGCAATGATATTATCCTCTCAATTTGCACACAGGTGGGACTAAGAGTGGAGTGTGCCTACTGAAGAGGTGGCAGATTCTCCTGGAGGCCAAATGGCTTTAGGGAACCATCGGCAGAGAAAGTAAGGGATGTCACCCTAAAAACGTAACAGTATTCCTAATTTGGCTTACATTCCCCACTGATACAGTTTTAGGGGAACTAAGCCACTGTAACCACTAATGTAGTATTGATCACTTTTCAAAGAGCTTCAGAGCTATTTAAATAATTCTGCCTTAGAAACAGTCCCACAAAGAAGAATATAATTTCCATTTGTGAGACAGGAAAACTAAGGCAGAGACTAAGTCATTTTTCTGCAGAGAGAAGAATCAAATGAAGGATTTCCTAATAAATAATTTTGGGTTAGAAGTAACACACCCACAGCCAAACTTAATTTTTCATATATAAAGCCATGTATTTAACTAGTAGACAAAATAAATGTATTGAATTTGTTTTTGCCATATGAGTAACCAGCAGGTCAAAAAAATACTCATTGACAATATCCTTAATCCTTAATCCAATAATCTGTAAACAGATTAGCAACTTAGACTTAGGAAAAATCTCTCATGATCACCTTATCCCAACTTTCCAAGAAATGTGTATACATGGAGCATGGATATTAATTATTAACAGTAGCTTAAAAATACAGGAAACAAATCATTTAATTTATTTCACTCAGCCACAGTACTTCTATTTGAAAAAAGACAGATATGAAAAACTCTCACATGACAAAAATAACAGGAAAAAGCAGCACTTTAAAAAAACGCAGGAAAATGGGGCATTTTAGGGCATTATGACATTTTTATACGTATTTCACACAAGTCTGCTTTTTTTTTTTTTTTTTTTTTTTTGAGACGGAGTCTCGCTGTATCGCCCAGGCTGGAGTGCAGTGGCCGGATCTCAGCTCACTGCAAGCTCCGCCTCCCGGGTTTTTACGCCATTCTCCTGCCTCAGCCTCCCGAGTAGCCGGGACCACAGGCGCCCGCCACCTCGCCCGGCTAGTTTTTTGTATTTTTTAGTAGAGACGGGGTTTCACCGTGTTAGCCAGGATGGTCTCGAACTCCTGACCTCGTGATCCACCCGTCTCGGCCTCCCAAAGTGCTGGGATTACAGGCTTGAGCCACCGCGCCCGGCCACAAGTCTGCTTTTTCAACAAAGTACTTACATGTCAGAATTGCATCTTCATATTTTAGCCACCAATTACAACAAGGGACAAAACAAGCATAAGGGAAAGCTTCATTCATCAAAGGTTACAGCACAGCATTATGATGTCACTGTAAGCCAAAGATATTGTTCTACCCTTACCTTTAAGATATAAGACATCCTCTAAAATGAATATGTAAAGAAAGAGAAGATGAGCGTGAGAGGTCGATGGTTATAATGACCAAGTCCACTTATCAATAATTCTAAAACAACATTTGAAATGTTAGTGTTATCATAAATTACACAGAGGGAATATAATCACATTTCCCACATTAGTTTCAGATGCAATATTATCATGCAAAAGCCTGAGGAATACAGTTCTGTGCAGAATAACAAATGCTGAAAACAACTGAAATACATACTATCTAGTAGGAATATATTAATAACTCTTTTCCCCCAGCAGAAACGAAGTGATCATGCCTTAGTTTTAATAGATTAGTTATGTGAAGGATTAAGTCAACTTTACTCTTCAAAGCTCACCTTAATTTGAACTTAGTAACTGATAATTACAAAATATCCGTCATTAAAAAGGAGACCTAGGTAACTATGAAGTGGCACTCCTGGTTTACATAATCAAAGAAGAAAATTGGATGACTGCAAGAATTGCAGGTAAATTTCCAAAGTAAATCTGTGGGACTGCTTCCTGACCAAATTCTAAATAGAGTTATATAACAAAGATTCAGTTCAAGGGTTGTTTGTCCTATCATGTCAAGTTGAAAGGATCAAAAAATCCTCCAGTGTCCAAATATTGTCTTATTTTTACTGCACTTAGAGTTGGTAGCAACAATTAATCGAAACAAAAGCATGGTGGTTTAAATCAAAACACTCAAAATTGAGCTGAGTCTGCATCACTCATCAAAACACACATTTGATCTAGAAATATATGCTGCCTTTGCCCCATAATTCTAAGACTCATCTCATAACTGTCACAAACTTAATCTTCACCCAACGAGACTGATTTAAAGAACAGTTACTAATAAATGAGTATCTTTTCTGAAATCTGAAATGATTTGAGACAGGTTAGGGATAAAGCCACTGTTTGGATGGAAAAGTAATACTCCACACAGTTACAGAAGCTAGTGAGTGACACTTCCTGACTGCAACTTCAAGAGAAAAAAAAAATACACAAAACCTTTAAATCCCCACACTACCCAAATATCAAATGGCCTTTAAGGTTGTCTCTGAGAAGCCTCTTTTTAAAAGACACTCCTTTCATCAAATTCTTTTCTCATTCCAATTGAAGCAAATATCATTTTTATAGTTTGGACTCATAGCTTGGTCCCATAACACTTTACTAATTTGGTTCAAATTGATCAAAATGATCCCAAATGCTGAATTAGGTCTGCTTCATTGGCAACTCAACTACAATGAAGTAGCTCTTGTTTGAGATTTGTGTACATTATTAATGAATCTAAAGAATTATCATAATAATCATTAAGGTAAACCAGAGGCACTTCAGGAGGAGACTGGGAACGCTCAGGCAGTGCACATAGATCCTGTAGATATTCAGTACATATTTGCAGATGGATAATGGGAAACGGAAAATTAAGAAACCAAACAAATCACTGAGTCTAGCAATTCAAAACTGACTCACATATACCACCTATCTTAAATTCTAGCACATTCCCACAGAACTATTTGTAATAAGCTATGAAATTAACTTGTCAGAAGCATTTTATACCATAGGTAGCAAAATTACCTCTTTATAACCTAGTGCTGCTGATGGTCTAAGTGGAGGTGCAGGTCGTAGGCAACTTAAACTCCACGGTTTTATAATTTGAGGAGGCTCCAAGGGTCCTCGGGGCTGTCCAGTAGAGCTAAAAGACTGGGAAAATGTCTGATGAGATGTTGGCAATCTGCCATCTGAACCCGACCTTGTGCCATACAGTGAAGAACAACAATAGCTTCATTGGATCAGCAAAGACAGCCATAGAAAGGGATAGACGGAAGAACAAAAGTCTCCAGTTTGAGAACTGGCTCTTTCCAGTCAAGATTACGGGGTCTCTAAGAAACAGCACAAAATTGACTCAACATTCCATGATCCTGTCCTCTCTTTCCCATCTGGAATTTAATTAATTTAATTTTCTTTCCTCTGTAAGGAAAGAAAATGGAGTAGCAGTCAACATTTGAGTTCAGTGATATGTTTGGCACTCTGGTAGGTGCTTAAATAGATTATTTCATGAGAACAGTCTAAAACATAGACTCAGTCAAGTGAAGTAACTAACTAGTAATTGGCAAAGCCAAGATTTGAACCCAGATCTGAAGCCAAAGCCCATATTCTTCCGACCACAACACACAGTGCTCAAAACTGGAATTTTGGCATCATAGGTTTGTATGTTAACAAACAACACAGCATATCTTCCATCTCACTCAGCAAGTACAGTAAAATCTCATCAATTCAAATTCCAAAGTGTACATTTGTGATAACTCAGAAAGAGACAATGCTAAAAGTTTACCTTTGAAGAAGGTTACTGAGCAAATGTGAGAGCATGAGTGAGATGACATGGAGATGTTTAAGTACTTAGGGAGGTAAACTATTTGTTTCTACTTAGCCCATTGTTAGTAGGAGAGTAACCATTGCTCATTGAAACAAGCCTTGCTTATCATTAAAATATTTTAGCAGGACTTCTGGTTAGAAATACTTTGCTAGCAGTTAGTTGGGGTACCTGAATACTGTCAAACAGAACTGCACACCTCTAAGTAAACCTTTTCATTAATTTGGATGGGCCTCATAATGAGAAATCAGAACGAGTGAGGTTTAACTGTACTTCAAAATCTGCAAATATAGGCTCCCCAAAAGGCTGAGCGTGTGCTTGCTGCTGCTTCTAAATAAGTCTCCAGCAGGCAGGAGTTGATGAAAGACTCAATAATCTCTGGACAGAACACATGGACTACTTACGGAATGAGCACTGCATGATGACGATGAGGTTTTGGATAATGAACTGCAAGAGGCAGGTCCTCTGATCAGTCTGTTCAGCTGCTCTAACCATTCCTGGAAGTCCTGGTTGTTGTTGCAATGGACCACAATTCTCTCCACCATGTTACCTACATCCCCCAATTATGATCAATTTGAAAACAGAAGGTAAGGAAAAACTTGAGCTTCTCCCATTCGTAAATACACTTCATGCAACTAGGACTTGGGTGTGTATTTTCAGGGGTTTTCATACCTATGGGATAACCCTGTTGAAATTTCTACAGCAGAAACAGATAACCTGTGATGATAAAGTAAATAAATATTCATGTCTGATTTAGAAAACTGTCCTTGATTTTTACTGCTTACAGAAGCTTAAAAGTAGTGTAAAACTTCTCACTATATACAAACTTGCAATCCAAAAATGTAAGTACATAGTCCATCTAGTTAAGTCTAAAGTGGGAATATTGTACTGGTTCCCCCACTATCAATGTTGGAACAAGATCCAATTAAGACTATTTACAACCTTTTGGCAAATACTAAACCTTAGGCTCCTTCTTGGGAAAGAAGAGGGTAAGGCCATGATCCCAGTCTTAGCCACTGTGCCATATCAGCACCAACAGTGAAGCCACTACATATAAATGACACAGGCCTGGCAAAAGGGATCATAAGCTAAAATGTCAGGGAGCATTACTGAAGCCTGGCATTATGCTCAATTTGTGAAGAAAGTTTGATGTCTTTTCAGAACTTTTTAGAAATACAACCAAATCTTACTAACTCATGGGCTGATGATAAAATTGCTGATAAAAGTCCATATCTTTGGCTCCTCTGCCACCAGGGAACAAATGACAGAAGGGAAGAAAATTGCATTTACATCAGTCCATTTTGTTATTCCTTAGCTCTCACAAGTAGCTCTTATGCAACAGAAGACTGAAACTAATGGCAAAGCCATGGCTTTTGAATGAGAGGAGACTTCTCTGTGGTATTGCTGTACCCTAATTATCCCAGGAAATGGAATATACTTTGCCATGTCTGCGTAAAATTTGCTCGTGGCCTATGTAACTGAAAATAATGGCATTTATTTATTAAATTCCCCTTCATTCCAAAAAGAATTGGAAGTAGTTACATGAAAAAGAGAAAATTACCTACCAGTGATTTCAAATGTGCAGTCATTCCCTTCAATTTCATCTAATCTAGTCACCACCGTTCCAGCTATTGGTATTTTTCCCTATTAGAAAAAGAACATCCTCATTAATTCTGCAGTCATACAGGTCTCTGTTTATTTCACTTAGATTTTCTGACCCTCTCAGCACTGCAAAATTATGGCTAGACGTATTTTTCCACTATGTCAAAAGCAGATAATATGATTCCCTGTTCTAAATTTTAATCAGACTAAGAAAGCAAGGGGAAAATGTGGATTGTGTTTGGCTAACACACCCTAAACTATAAGATCAGGATTTACAAAGCAGTTTCCTTTTCTAATATATTTTCATAAGAATCAGTTAAAAAAAAAAAAGTGAAGGCTCAGATGTTATAAAAACTACTAATTGTCAGGCCAAGATGTAACAGGTAATAGTAACTTATAATGCTCTATATCTTGGGAGTTGACTGAGGGACGTTTAATTTCCTAAGGAATAACATGCTTCTTTAGAAGCCTGTTATTTAACATGCTTCTTAGAAGCCTGAATCATGTGCTGTGACTATAATAAGACAAACATAGGAGCAGGTCCTAGCTTTATGTTTTCTCAGCAATAATAACATGGGCCTGTACAATACTGCTGCTAATTTATCTAGTTTCCATTTATGCATGCAAAACCTAGTGCATAACTAAAGCGGTGGATATATTCAAGATAAACTCATTATACTAATACAAAGGTCTTTGATCTAAGGAACATCTGCTCTTACAAGCTCTTTAATTACAATGAAGGGTCAGAACATTCTGGTTCTCCTGGCTTGAGCTTTTAATGCCATAGTGGAGATACTGCATCTGGATGGAAACCTGTTTTCATTAGCGGGTCTGCTATGTGTTTTATGTGAAATCTACTAACCTGATAGATAAAGCCACTCATCCGAGGACTTGCAGATAACATTATCAGGACATTTGAAAATAACATAAGGTACCGCTCCTCTTTTTCCTGAGAGAGAATGAACAATAACACATGAAGAACAGAATTGGACATTTTATCTGTTGAGAATTTCTGGAATCACTGCCTTATAACATAGACCTTATATAAACAACTGAAACATTAACAATAATTTTTTTAAAAGATACCCAACTTGAAAACACAAAACTAGTTGAATTTTACTTTGACATGGACATAAACCCACAGTTTATCTCTCTTCTTCCTATACATAACAATTAAATACAAATAACCATGCTTGCTTTCCACGTATGAAAGCCTGAGGAGTTACCACAGTTTATGCAGCCAGTGAGATGTGCTAGACCTGGGCACAAAATAAGTCTCCAGGTTCACAAAATGAAAATACATTTTACTTTGAAAAAATGGCAAAATGAAGGGGTTTTCAGGTGATAAGAAATTTAGTATGCTCTAACGTGTTAAAGTCATATTCATAAAATTAACTTTAGTCATTAAGAACAAGATAATTATTGGATTTATGTAAAATGTAAAAGTAGATACACTTTTTTTTTTTTTTTTTTTTTTTTTTTTTTTTTGAGATGGAGTTTCGCTCTTTTTGCCCAGGTTGGAGTGCAATGGCACAATCTCGGCTCACCACAACCTCCACCTCCCAGGTTCAAGCAATTCTCCTGCCTCAGCCTTCCAAGTAGCTGGGATTACAGGTATGTGCCATCACTCCCGGCTAATTTTGTATTTTAGTAGAGATGGGGTTTCTCCATGTTGGTCAGGGTGGTCTCAAACTCCCGACTTCAGGTGATCCACCCACCTTGGCCTCCCATACACTTTTTTAATGGCATTGAGGAAACCTCGACACATGAGGGCTGCTGTGAGCCCCTTCAACAGATATGCAATTAGTATATGCAAAAATTACATTTAGCTTCCATGCCCAGTCATCTTAGCTGAAATTATCCTTATGCCTGTCTCCATCTCCTTCCTTCCATTTGAAAAGAGCAACCCTTCCAGGCTAACTATTCTAACAAGTGCTCCACATTCTCTCACATCTTTGTCTCACTTAGTTTTCCTCTACAGACATCTCCTCTTCTTCTCCCAGCATCCTCTTCTGTTTTACTAGCTTTTCCTCTTTTTCTTTAACATATGTACACCTCCTATCCTAACAGACTTTGGCTTGCCCCCATGTGGCTCTTTATGCATCATATCCCATTTCTTGACATTTTATTGCCAAATTACTTGCTGCCTTCATTTTCCCTGCATTGATCCATCCCTAACTGCACCCTCCTTGCTCTTGCAAAGTCATCAATAACTGCCTTCTAGCAAAATCCAATGGCTTCCTCTTGGTCCTCACATTCCTTGCCCTCTGAACCTTCAGCAGCAGTCAGCACACTGGCCATTTTCAAATGCTCCTCGTGGAATTTCCATGACACCATGCTCCCCCAGTTCTTCTCTACCTTCCTCTTTGTCTTTTTATTTTTTCTGGCACTGATTCCTCCTGCCTTCACCCAAGAGGTTTATCCCAAAGGTGTGAATGACTAATAGTTAGACTCACTGCATTAACCTTCCCTGGGGTATCTGCATTTTAAATGAGATTGCTTATTAACCCAAAGTAATGAATCTCTGCCAAACACGTGTCAGAGAGTGTAGGAAGATGTTTTGGGAGAAGGAAGACAATTCTAACACCCGATAAATCAAACCAGGTGCCATAATCAACCTTTCTCCCTTTCCCTGGCCCCTTCTTAAAAGAAATAATCCATCTTCAGCCCTCCCCCCAACCCCCCGGGCTTCTCTCTGGATATTTGCTTCTTAGGAAGGCACATCTGTTAGGGACATCTAAGTCTCTGCCTCTAACTCTGACCTCTCACTCACATTTCCATACTATGTTAACAGCTGCCTATGGGACATCTCCACCCGGATATCTACAGGTCTAAAATTATATTCTTCATCTCCTCTAGCCCAGGGGCACCACTTCCTGTTGACTTTCCCTTCTAAAGATGCCTCCAATTTGCCCCTTCTCTCCATTCCCTCTGTCACCACTGTCTTAGGGGACTCCATCTCACTTTCCATCCCAGCTGGCCTTTCTGCTTCTCGTCCATTCCCTCCAGTTCATTTGACATATATGGGTGTCAGATTAGTGTGAAACATCCCTTTCAGAATGTTGTTCTATGACTCTGGACTCTTTCATTATTTCCCACGGCCTGCTGCATCCATCTGAACTACTCTTGCCTGATGTCAAGCTTCTGCATAATCTAATTCTACCTGACTCTATCGGACTTTCACTATGGCCAAGTTGCTTCTTTTGCTCCCTACAGGCTGGTTTCCTTACTGTGCTGCAGCAAACCAAAGCCACATTTCTGTTCTCTCCTAAGTAACAATGACCTCTGCCTTGTGAAATCCTCCCCTTTTGTTTTTGTGCCCACTCCTCAATTCCTGTCTCCATAAGGTCTTCTTGATCTCTCCCTCCTGTGACCTTTTATGGACTCTATTGTTGCGATTGCAAAATCGAACATTGACTATTTGGTTTGTTTGCTAGTTGCAACTTGTGTTTTAGTCTGTTTTTAATGAGTTCTTTGAAAACAGGGATCATTGCTTGTTCTTTTCTCCTATCTCCCACAGCACCTAGCAGAATGTTGAGCAAAGAATAGGTGCTCAGCTTCTGATTTCAATGTTGTACCATTTCACTTTGGTGGAAGAACAAGGAAGAAAAACTACTTAAGAGGCTCAGGCAGGAGGATCGCTTGAACCCAGGAGGCAGAGGTTGCAGTGAGCCAAGATGGCACCACTGCACTCCAGCCTGGGTGACAGAACAAGACTCTGTCAAAAAAAAAAAAAAAAAAAAGGAAGAAAAATATGAAAGATGGAAGAAATGATGTTGAGATTTGAAACACTTTACCTCACATGCTCCATACTGCACCATTACTTGTGACATAAAAATCACACTTCCCAAGTTTTTAATATCTTCTCCTTCCCATGCCTGAATAGGTTCGGACAGTATCTGTAACTCCAGCTGTTTCCTCTTCCTCAGATCTTGACATTGCCCCTACAGAACCAAAGCAGAACATAATGGAAGAGGAATTCTTATGAAACAGACTAAAATAAGACCAAAGTAAGATGTGGCTTCTGACTCTTTGGTTCCCATTGAGTCCCTATTTCCTCATCATGAATCCCATGACCAGGTCTGTTTTTGATAGACAGAAAGATCCACTACCCTAAATCTCTAGGCTTGAGCCCCCAAAAGTTTTGTGAGGGAGGCCTATTTTTCATTTTGCCAAAGCGTCAAAACAAAATGCTAGAAAGAGCTTATTTCTCCCTCCCTGTAAAGAACATGGGAAAGCAAGCAGCCAAATCACACTGACCAGAGCCAGGTGAGGACCTAGTAGATTCAGATCTACTGGTTGGTGCCCCTGCTTGAGCTCCTCTTACGTTGTCTATCTTTGCATAAATAGGGCTTTAGTGACAAAATAATTGTATTTCGAACATGTGCTCAATTTCCAACAAGGTAACATCCTGAAAATAAAAGAAAGCAAAAAATTTCTCCTGGACTTATAGTGAAAGAGAAAATTAAATTCTTTATGCCACAGTGAATCAAACTGATAATGAAACCTAGGCACTACTGTACTTTGTTTAAGGACCAAGATTGCTATGAAAAAAAATACTAAATTAGTTTTTATTTCTAAAAGGATTGGTAAAAAGAGATACAACTGAATTTCATAATGATATACTGAAAATTCAAACCAAGAAACAATTTACAGTTTGCCAACACTATGTGGGGTATGAATACTATATATATATATATGTATATATATAGCTTAAGACACTGAGTTTATCTTAGAGTAATTTAACAGCATGCCTTCCAAATTGAATACAAAAAATAAGCACATGGCTAGTTCTGTTACTGTTTCCAAATGAATGCAAGATAATATTCTGGGGGGTATATTTTCTATAAAATCGCTGCTGTCCCTTTCAGCTACATGGAAACTCAAAGAAATAAATTCACTGTACACATTTTAAGAGCACCTATAGTAGGAATAAATATACTAAACCATCAAGGCAAGTTATATAACATAATCAGAAAGAAATATAGGTTTTCAAAAGACTCATTTTACATTCCTATTTATACAAGAAAAAATAGAACCATAATTATAATAAATGCTGTGGGTTTCACTGGGTTGTTCTATTAGCTTGCACCATGTAAAACTGCCAATATTGGACTGTTTTTGGCATATAACAATGGCAGTTTTAACCTAATACTTACTCTGGTCTTCAACTTGCTGTTCAACTACAGACACGTCAATTACTGATCTTTCAACAAGGATTAATAATTAAACATTAGTCCAAATCACTTATAATGCTACAGAATTGTGTGAAATGAAGCTAAGTTTAATCAATTGCCCAAAATGAAGTTTTCTTTCCCCCTAAAATGGCACCAAGTGGTTTTATATCAGTGGGTTCAAGAAGATACATTAACCATCATACTGAAGATACAAGATCACAGGTACTTTTGATAGCAACCTATATAAAGCAATTGCATTTTAGTACTTTGGGTTTTTTCCCCCCTTTTAAATTTGATGAAGGATTTCTTCTTCATATGCAAAGGAAAAACTCATACCCTTTGGCATAACTAGTTGAATCCAGTATTGATGCAAATCAGTGAATGACGAGTTACACAGACTCGTCATTAGGTGAGCAATGGGGGTAAAGACAAAGAGACAAAAGGAAACCCCCCACCTACACACCAATGCTTAATGTGGCTTAATGTGGCTGAGACTGTAAATGTGATTGCTTTATACCCTCAGCCTGGCAACCTTTCTTAGGTAAGCATGATTTTTGGAGGACAAAATTAAATGAAACAATCACTGCTATACTGTCATGAAAGCTTATTATTTCCATTCTAAAGACCTTTGTACAGGGAAAGAAATGTTACACACAAATTGCTCTTTCAGGAATAAAGTATACAAAATGGAGAATTGTGAATTTAAAGTATCACCTACCATGAGAGTTTTGAATGCTACGATTGCTTTCAGAATATCCTGGTGATCTGGATGAGTATCCTATCAAAGGAATACATTTGAAAACAATGTTAGAGGAGAGAGGATCAGCAGTTGTAAAGGGTTAGGGGTAGAAGGAGGGTATGGCCACAAAGATAGCAAGAGAATTTTGGGGGATGATGGAACTGTTCTGTATTTTAATTGTGGTCGTGGTAACATGAATCTATACCTGTGTGAAAACTCATAGAACTGTGCACCAGAAGAAAAATATTAATTTTACTGTATACTAATTTAAAGATTAAAAAATAGAGCAGCATGGAAGCATCTGGAATCTCAGCAACTCTAATTATTAGGTGATTTAGAAAGTAAGAGAGTTGGTAATGCATAATATATTTAGTAACTATGTAGCAAAAGGCAAGAATTCCCATTTCCCTTTTTGCTATTATACTTTGGATAATGACTATTTAATAATAAATACAATAATCAAATAATTATTTGGGGGACATCATTAGGTCATATTGTTGGTAGATGACAGATGGTAGGGAATGGTGGAAACAAGAGTCGTGGTTAGAGAAAAATCAATCTATCAGCCGGGCATGGTGGTGCATGCCTATAGTCCCAGCTACTTGGGAGGCTGAGCTGGGAGGATCAGCTGAGCCCAGAGGTCGAGGCTCTGATGAGCTGTGATTGTGCCACTATACTCCAGCCTGGGTGATAGAGTGAGACCCTGTCTCGAAACAAACAAACAACAACAACAAAAATCCAAGAGAAAAATCAATCTAATTCCATTTCCTAAAATGCCTCCATTTTCTTTCAGCAGTGTGAACATGGCAGATGGGAAAAGATTCCAAGTTTCATACCATATTTTCCTTCTTAAGCAAGCTCTTACACATGGCCTGCAATCCTGTGGTACTTGCAATTCTGAAAAGTGGACAGATTCAAAAATGGCTTAGAGGAATCCACAATTCCATAACTGTTTATGAAGGGAAGATAGAGATTCTTATGGGTAGATGTGCACCTAACATTGGGGCATATGGGATATGACCTTTGGAACTCAGCTGGAGTAAGGGACGACTAAATTTCCTGCCCCACTAGTCTCAGGTGATAAAATACAGAGCTGAACAGATTAAGGGCCTGATATAAGCCAAGAATGACATTGCTCATAAAAAGTAAGGTTGTATTCCTTTACAGTAAAATTTATCCTTATCCAAATCAACTGACAGCCAAGAATTTCAGGTTTTATTCTACTGTTACCAGCCATGCCAAATGCTCTGAAATCTGCACAAAGTTTACAGTGGCGAACTAGTACTAAGGGTTTGTATTTTCTGATGATGGGAAATGAGAGGCAGCCAAACACATGTGACCCACAGCAAATGGAGGCAGGAGGAGAACAGGCTCCACTACAAGAAAGGCTGAGATATAGGATCCAGGCAGCAGGAGCGTCTGGGATTTGTTTCTCCCCAAACTAAGTGCATATTTGTATTTCGACACTGAAAAGTAATAGAAACTGAGGCCACTCGTTTCTGGATTTTTGTGATAAGCAAGGAGGGGCAAACCTCAAACGGTTCAGCAAACTGGTTTAGCTTATGGAAAGGCATCCAGAGGTCAACACCTTCCTGAGCCCTAACTGAAATTTCACACTGACAGGCTTTGCTCACAAGCTCCCCACTGCCTCCAGCTTTCAGGCAGGTCAAATACCCTGAGAATGTGGTTTCGCTCAGAGAACATGCTTTCAATCCTGACAAATGCTGACAAGCCCGGCAGAGTGCGGGTGCACCCTTTTTCTTTAAAGATAATCAAACCCCTTGAAACCTCAAAACCTTTCCCCAGACACAGGAAGAGCAACTAGGGTAAATGCAGCCTCCTCCAGCAGGCCCTCCTCTCCCACCCACACTTAAATCCCCCATGAACAATCACAAAAGAAAGCCTCAAGGAGCTAGCTCTGCTGATTGGTTTTTCATAACACGAGGCCTTTGGTTCTTGGTGAAAAAATATTCAATTATCAGGCCTCATTGCAAAATCTTACTATTTAGAAATGATTATAGCTATGCTACAAGAGTTGCAAGTAAACTGTAGGTTTATAAATAAAAATGTAGAGGGACTCTGATGTACATGCATGATGTGTAGAGAGATACCACTAATATTGTACCCATCCATTGGTCTCTAAGGAATACCAGAATCTTCCACTGTCATCCAGAGTCAGGAAGTTGAATGATGGCAGAATTCTACAGATAAATATTCCTGTCTATAGTGAACTTGTTCTTTGTACATTCTGATGTTGTTTTGCTTTATCTCCCACGATAAAGTTGGTTAATATACCAGAACCAAAGAAGATTTCTTAGTTGGATTTTGACCAAACTACTGAGAGGGCAAAAGAAAACCCCAGTTAGCAAGTAAGCATAGACTTAAGGGAAGCCACAGGACTAAGGCTTGGAAGAGAAGAGCGAAAAGGGCGAATGATCATTAATACCTAGTAGCAAAGAATAAGGATCTTATTTTGCTGCACAAAGAGGAAAACTAGAAGCCTGAGAGGAGGAAAGAAGAGATAAAGTAAACTTTGAATCCAAGACCTTGATTCCTCTGCAAGGCCATTTTGGAGGCAAATTGGCTGCGTCCTCCAGAGCACAGGACCATACTTGGCACAGCAGCTTGAAAAAGTTCACCTTCCCTTACCTCCATATGCCGTTCCAACTCTTGCAAGAGAGTAACATATTTCTCCAGTCGCATGAATGGTTTGCTGAGGCTTGTTGTTAAAATGAGGATACCTGGGCTCGATGCACCTTGATTTTCCATGAATTGTTCCAACTCATCACTAGCAAAAGAACAAATACAGTTTTGTTACTGCTGAATCTCATGTAAAGAATTATCAACCTAAAATTATTTTACTGTATTTCACACAATATAAAGCCAAATAAAAATGTGTTTCACTAGTCCAAATGCTGTTCAATTTGTTTTGGCTCAACTAAATCACGCTTTATTAAGCTCCTTCTATAAAATCAGCATCAGGGCTCCTTTGGTGAGCCAGACACTCGTGATCCCTGGTGTCATACATTCAACAATTGCTGATTGAGCATCTACTAAGTGACAGGCTCTGTTCTCTGATGGGGCTACAGCAGTAAACAAACAAACAAAAAAATCCCCACCCTTAAGGAGCCTACATTCATGGGCGTGAGATATACAGTGTATCAGATGACCCAGAACTTAAAGTATAATTTAAAAAATAGATTTTCTTAATCACTTCAAACGTCCTAGTTATGGACTGGTCAGGTGCCTAAAGATAACAATCCACAAGGTTGTATCACCCACTTGTAATGTTCTAGAATCACTTCCTACATTTAGATACCAGCATGTTTGTATGACTAACCACAAAGTCACTTAGCCCAATATCTAAAACCAGTGCAGCAGGTTAACCAAACACTTACATAAGGCAGTAACTTGATGAAAAAATGTATTAATATTTTATGAACTGTGTGGTGTAAATGTCTAATTCTAAGCCAGTGCTTTCTCTGCTGTTTAGCACCGTTCCAGATTGTTTACTTTCCACCAACAGGGATATTGAGTCCTGGGGCTGCAAGATCATTTTAATACACATTTAGGCAAAATATACTTAGAGAAGGAAAGCTACTGCCTAAGTGTCAGTTTATGTTGAAACTTCTGCTTTATTACATGGCCCTTTTACCTCTTTGGTTGGCCATGCATATCCAGTCAGTCACAAATCTTCTTGGATCTGTTGATTCGTTCCCATTCCTGCTGCCACTGCCTTAGTTCAGGACTTCAGCTCATCCCATCTGGCTCACTTCAACAGACCAACTGTTTTCCTGGCTTCCAGGCTTTTCCCAGGTCCTGCAGACTACCATTTTAGCCTCACTGCTTTCCTACCCAAGCTCTGAGTGCCTACAAGATCAAGTCTTGACTTTTTAGACTCCTACTGGCTCCACCATCTTTCTCACTACTCCCCAGCAGGAAACCCCTACTGCAAAGTGACCTACTTATTCTCCCTAGAACACATTTTATGCCATGGTTCCCAACTGTGGTGTGCTGCTATAAGGTGTGAAGTGTGTTCCAAAAACTTGCTGTAAGTAATAAAGTACTGGGAGGCTGGAAACAGAGCGGATTGCAGGTTATCCCTATTAATTATAGACTCCCACCCACACTCTCCCTTCGTGGGTTTTTCTGAGCAGGAGAGAAAACATGGAGTTTCAGCTAATGCAACATGCAGCCTTGAGTCATGCAGTATGGCACGTATGTCAGAGGAAAAAAGGGCTGGGAATGGCTGCCGTAATGGAGTCTAGATCACATATGAGAGGTCATATCTAGCAATTGCTGCTAACCCTTTTATTAAACTTACAAAAAATTATAGAGACGGGGTTTTGCCTTGTTGCCCAGGCTGGTCTCGAACTCCCGGGCTCAAACAATCCTCCCACCTCGGCCTCCCAAAGTGCTGGGACTACAGGCGTGAACCACCGCACCCACCCTGCTGCTAATCCTTTTATCAGTTTTTGTAGTCTTGTTCCAGAAGTAGCCAAAGGGAGGGAAATGTCCTAGACCTGGAGTCATAAAACAGAGTTGGCAACCCTGGATGAGTTGCCTGAGCCTCAACTGACTCATGTTTATAAGAGAGATAAAACCTACTTCCTAATAAAATTGCAAAGATTAAATATTGGGGGTTTTAACGCTACTATTTCATGCTAAGAATTGTACATGCATTCACTCTTGTTTAATGACAACAACATTTCAACATAGGTGTTCTCCCCATTTTACAGATGAGAAAGCTGAGAGGAAGAGTGATGGTAAGTGGCTACAGTGGGATTCATACTCAGGTCTGAAGCCAAAGTCTCAGGTCTTTTCAGGATACCATACTGGCTCTCTGCAGGACAGTATTTTGTAAACTTTAGTCAATGGATGCATTATTATTATTATTATTATTATTATCCCAAGACAAATACCTTGCTAAAATCACATCTTTAAAAACTACCAGTACCTGTGGTTTCCAACTTAATGGAAATTCAATTGATGTTTAATTGCCAACCAAGAGCATAAAGTGCATAAAGAGGTTTAAAAATTCATTGCATATAAAATATAATTAGGGAAATAACTCAGGTTTGGAGTGCATTTGAGTAGAAAAGTAATTTGGAGAAAATCATTTTTCTAATTTATTTTCAATTTAGTAAACAAGTTTTATTTTTTCTTTCAGTGACTAAATGACTGCCCGCATCCTCAACGTTTTACTCTAATTGATGCAAGAGTTACAGCAATTAAAAGCAAATGCTAATGTGTATTTTATTATTACTTTCCATGCAGCATTCTAACTTCTAGGCTTGCTAAATATTATAAAAGAGTTTAAATTTATTTCAATACAACACGAAATCACTATCTTGGATTAAAACACTGGTTCTTCAGAAAAGATAATTTTACTAGGGCAACAAAAGAACAAAATTGTCCTAAAATGCCTTTTATCTGTGATAAATAGATCCTAAAAGACACATTTTATTTAGCCAAATAAACATAATACACAAATTAGTATTATTATACACAACTATAATACATAAATATATATTATTATACCAAAGAACAATCTTTTAAATGCAGTTTTTAATTTTATACAGCCCATTTGAAACAGCAGTGGATTAAGACTTGCTTTTCAAGCTTAACATGTTCTGTATATGTGACGTGATACAATAGAAGCAGTTCTCAGTGTATAAATGCTGTTTAAAACAACACACATTTATTTCATAGAATGCATGGTGGATGGGGCTCTGGGATATTCTGGGTTGGACTGGAAAACTGAAGAAAATTATGTATACTACAATAACGCTACAGAGCTTAGCCATCTCATATAGAAGTGTTTCTGTGGCATCTTTGTATAGGTTTCTAATTTGAATGATCATAACTCTACCTAGCAGGTCAGAGATTCCTCCTTTCCACCTCAATTACTCCCCCAACAGCCCTTTCGGGGGAAATCACTGTGGCCCAAAAGGGGAGGTGAGGCAAGAGGAGCTGGCTGCCACAGCCTCTGGCCAGTGGAAAATTTCAAGAGTGCCACTCACACTGGATTGAGTGGTTCCCCTTTCTTCTCTTTTTCATTTATCCAGCCCCAGAGATTAGGTGGTGTGCGTCTTTTGCTTCTTTTTTTGTCCCCACTCCTTTTTTTTTTTTTTTTTTTTTTTTTTTTGGAACGGTCTTGCTCTATTGCCCAGGCTGAAGTGCAGTAGTGCGATATTGACTCACTGCAACCTCCGCCTTCAGGGTTCAAGCGATTCTCTTGCCTCTCAGCCTCCTGGGTAGCTGGGACTACAGACACACACCACCACATCCGGCTAATTTTTGTGCTTTTAGTAGAGATGGGGTTTCGCTATATTGGCCAGCCTGGTCTCGAACTCCTGACCTCCAGTGATCCACCTGCCTTGGCCACCCAAAGTGCTGGGATTACAGGCGTGAGCCACCGCGCCTGGCCTTGTCCCTACCACCTTTGGTTTGTTATCAGTTTTACTTGCTCCCTTCTCTGGTCCTTCAAAGACAGAAAAGAACAGAACCCAGGCTCAGAATTTTTTCTGTGCTCCTTGTCCCCAGAGCGAGTACACAACTTTTTTTTTGGCGGAGGCGGGGAGGTTCTCAAAGTCTTCATTGCTGGCAACCATGGTAAACAAAGAGTGAAGAGAACTAAGGAGAGCAAAAGCACACCACAGCAGAGACGGAAGTGAGGTCCGGATCTGTCTTAGCACCAACTCCTCTTCCCTCTGATCTCTCATTTAGCCCTCTCCCTCGTGAAAAGGATAAATGCCACACTGAAGCAAGCACAGGAGAGAAGAGAGTGTTTTTGTAAAAGAGAGGTTATTCCCAGGAAGAAAACAGGAGCTACCGTAGCAAGCTAGCAGGGGAGAGGGAGGGGAAATCCCGAAAGACCTTACCCAGGGCACAACAAAATACTAGAGCGGCCATTCAAAGATATGCAAATATGGGGACACATCAAGGTTGGGGTCTGATTACATATCCAAATTCAGGCCATACACGACTGCATTTTTAACAAGACACCTGCATGCAATCATACAATTTTAAGGCTGGATCCCTTCTCAGGGCCAATTGTTATGAGCATTCCTGGTATGGTACTGCCACCTAAAGGCCGAAAGAAGGAAATTCACCTGAACATTACAGCTTCAGCAAGGAAAGAACAGAAATCCACCAATGTCCCTATTTTAGCTGAAATCTTCATCTAAAAAATGTTTAATGTGAATTTTCTACGAATTTCATCTCACTGTGCTTTGCCTTTAATAGGTCAGCATAAATTGCCACCTAGATGCATGTAAAATAGCTGAGATTATATTAAAAGCACATGTGAGAAAAACCTCAAGTATTTTAATTTTCATCCCTTTTACCTGTAAATAAACCAGTAAGATAAAAATTTAGTTCTATGAGGACTCCATTGAGTCTTCCATCATTTCAAGGGATATTGTAAAATTCTCAAAAACACCATTAACTAAAATTAAACAGGGCATTATACTTCACCAAAAAGTTGAGAATCTTTTAAATCAACTGTGTAACAAACTTTAAACCATAATGTTTGAGGGAACCTTTACTTAATTTTAATTATAAAATTAAATTCCTAACATAGGTAAATGTAGTCAGTAACATTTTAACACACAGAGTTACAATGGAAACTTCTCTAAACACCACAGAAAGTCTGCCACTTGAGGTAAACCATTTCTTTCCAGTATTCATCCAGAATACTGTTTTCATATCAAAAGGAGAACATGTGCTCATTTTATTGGTGTTAAAGAATTTGCCCTTATACATACAGGACATTTATGTATTCAT